TCTGCACAGATCAGAGGCACACGGTTTGTGTGGCCTCTTATATATGTTTAGGCTCCGCCCACCCTGTTGGATTTGAACATTGTGATGACAAATTTATTTTTAGAAATGAACTAGTTTAGTTTCAATTTCTATCCTCCATTGTGGTTAATATTATGGCCTCCATTGGGGTTAAGTTTTAGGGCAGTTCCCCCTGTATGGTAGGGCTATGAGCTAGGTTAGCATTTTAGCTTGTACATACAGTGCCTTGCGAAAGTATTCGGCCCCCTTGAACCTTTCAACATTTTGCCACATTTCAGGCTTCAAACATAAAGATATAAAAATTACATTTCTTGTCAAGAATCTACAACAAGTGGGACACAATCGTGAAGTGGAACGAAATGTATTGGATAATTTAAACTTTTTTAACAAATAAACTGAAAAGTGGGGTGTGCAATATTATTCGGCCCCTTGCGCTAATACTTTGTAGCGCCACCTTTTGCTACAATTACAGCTGCAAGTCGCTTGGGGTATGTCTCTATCAGTTTTGCACATCGAGAGACTGGAATTCTTTCCCATTCTTCCTTGCAAAACAGCTGGAGCTCAGTGAGGTTGGATGGAGAGCGTTTGTGAACAGCAGTCTTCAGCTTTTTCCACAGATTCTCGATTGGATTCAGGTCTGGACTTTGACTTGGCCATTCTAACACCTGGATACGTCTATTTGTGAACCATTCCATTGTAGATTTGGCTTTATGTTTTGGATCATTGTCCTGTTGGAAGATAAATCTCCGTCCCAGTCTCAGGTCTTTTGCAGACTCCAACAGGTTTTCTTCCAGAATGGTCCTGTATTTGGCTCCATCCATCTTCCCATCAATTTTAGCCATCTTCCCTGTCCCTGCTGAAGAAAAGCAGGCCCAAAGCATGATGCTGCCACCACCATGTTTGACAGTGGGGATGGTGTGTTCAGGGTGATGAGCTGTGTTGACTTGCTGGGTGCAGTCAGAGCTGCACCCAGTACACAGAGCACCAGCCCCTCACTGATCCTCCTGCAGGTGGTGAGTCCACAGGAGCTGAGATCTTTCAGTTGGGGCTGATAAGAATCAGACTCAGGCAAATTGGGATCTTTGTACGACAAAGCCTCCTGGCTGGTTTATTCACAAAATGGTCGTTAATTTCAGACAGAACAAAAGACACAGATACATTATATATGGAAATCTACGTCATCATAGAAAAGGCCAAACCTTCGGCACCAAATAGCCTAAACAACGAAAGTCTCTGTGGTCCTTGAGACCTCCACAAGGCCAGGTTATTAATACTATTTTGTCTTGCATTTGTCCACCTGTGCAGTACATAGGTCACTGTTTACCACACCCTCCCATTTTATCACATAAACACATGTGATAATAAAAATACGAAAACAACAAAAATAAATCAATCAATCAACAAAAACTTACAATCATGAAATCAAGTAAAGTGAATAACTGATTCTTAACTTGCAAAAAAATACATACAAAAAATAATGATAATAAAAAATAATCACTTTCACTATATAATCATGAATTTAGCTGATTTTATAATTCAAACAATAACAAAAATCTCTATTGGACACCAGAACCAAGCTGATATGAGTCATAGAGCAGGCGGGACTGAGCATTAAGAATCAAATATAAAATTAATTACTCACTTCATCCTAATGTGAAGTCTTAATATTAATTGCTACATTAACCTAAACGTTTTGATTTTACACTGTACACCTGTACAGCTATTATCTTATACTATTTTAAAACACAAATTATTTTGCAAAGCTATGTACAATTTCGGTTGAATTTGCATCTTAGTGGAACATATAGCTAATAAATCTCACTATCGGACTCCATCTCGTCCTCTTCTTCTAGACAGTAGTTAACACAATGCCGCTGATGAGTGTAAATATACTGTTTGGAAATTGCAGCTGCAATCAAACGCTCAATCAGATGTCTAAGGCATGGAACTACACAACATCCTCCCAGGATTAAAACTGTGAACACAATTAGGCAAGTGCTTAAAATTGACATTATTATGGGGGTCAAGGATCCGAATAGACTATTGAACCAGGCTATCCAAGTGCTATCTTGTGTTCCTGAGTTCTTTGTGACTTCCTCGGACAAGAGTCTAAGGTTATTTATGGCTCTGGAGATGCTACCGTCTGGCGCAGTATTATTGGGAATAAACGTACAGCATTTGTCTTGGAAAAAATGGCACACTCCCGAGCTACTTGCTAGAATCATGTCTAGGGCTAATCTATTTTGCCAGGCCATCAATGAGGTTGGTGCCAATTGCTCTGAAATGCTCTCAAGTGCGCCAATTGTATAGTTGATGAATCTCTATTGGTTGTAATATATGTAATTGATCCAGGCTACATTCATGTTAGAGGTGGGCCAGCTAAACAAGATTGAGGCTAGTCCCCTAGTTATTTCGTTTTGAGCCTTGAATTCATCCGGCACACCTACAGGAACCCCGGCCCAATTTAACCATACTCCCTTGTCAAATGAGCCTAAAGGCCTGTCTGTCTCTCTGAGGGGCAATACACTACGTTTGCTACGTGGATAAGAATCAAGCAATTTAGTTTTAAGCATGGGTTCTGACTCGTCTATGAGTGACATTGGAGCTAGAATGAATGGAACGATGAGGGAAACGACAGCACACTGTCCTTTCCATGATTTTGGCAGAATAGCTCTTATAGTTAGATCACCACACAGCCACCACAGGTCAGCCCTTGGAAGACACTGTTGGAATAGGGCTTGACGATAGTTATCTATACTAGCAGCTTTAGTTATAGTATCACAGTAACCATGGGGGAAAATTCCTAAGTGGATGGCAGAAGCACTACTATCTCTATTTGTGATGCAATGATAACCATTGGTTTCAACTGTGTGTGTGAATGGGACGTCCTTCTGGGAAATAATGGGATACATTTTAGTCAAATGTGTGCAATCTGGATCATTTTTGGTTGAGACCGAGAACATTGAAAATACACATCTATTTGAGTCTGTGGTATTTGGGAAAGGTGTAGCGGTCAATTGAGGTCTGGCTGCAGCACACGCAAAGCAGGACTCATTCGTCAATGAGTGCGCAGTATACTGAAGCCATTTAAGCCATAAGTTCATATTTATGTCTGTGCCAATCTCTATCTTAATTACATCCTCAAGTGAGAGTTCTGAGAGGTATTTTGGCCTTTCTTTACTTTCCATTTTAAGTTTAGCTAGGTCTACAGGTTTTATGGTTGGTTTTGGTTCGTCCGTGACTTGGATAGTTAGAAGTCCCATTTTTTGGTTTCTAGGGGAGATGTAAGATCCAAATACATATGTACCATTATCAGATTTACTGGGGTTTTTGAGAGTAATGTTTACAGGGTCACATATATCTCCAGGTGCTTCTTTAGCCTTAATGATAGATAGCCTATGTTTTAGGTCACTTTGAGAATGGTAGCCCCAATCAGTTCCGGTATTAGCAATTGTATAAGCCCAAGATTCACAATTACAGCCACGAGAGATTCCTGAACTGCCCCATACGCCTCTTGCAATGTAGCATGCATTGGTAGTTATACATAAAAACTTTTCATATTGTTTGTATTCACAGGGATTTGAACATGAGTGAATTTGGCAAGAATCTAATAAAACCGTGCATTGTTTTCCTACCTGACAAACCATTTTAACTGTTGGTGCTCTGTCCCCAGGACTAAAATGTCCGATGCTCCTGCCTGCTCTCTGTCTCATACCTTGTGAAGTTATTGCATTTGGCAGATCAAGAGTTGTGATCCCGCTTGCAGCTGTGGTCACAGTTGGTTTTTCAGTCTGCTGGTTCTCGTATGGCAAATCGCGGTGTCCAACAGGTTGTTCAACAGATATCCAGCAAACTAGGGACACACACAAAAAAGAAAACATCATGAGTACATATTTCCATTTAAAACTCATCAAGGGTGGGGTTTTAATCACAAAAACATTACTTCCCCCGTTTTTCCAACTCTCCAGGGTCCCCTGAGAGTGCGTCCGGGGTCTCGGTTGATCGGTCATCAGTTGAGGTTGTATTTCGAGCGACGTCATCTTGGACCTCTGCCAGGGTGCGTTCCGTCTGGTCACTCGGGCTGCGAATGCAGTGTTCAAGATGGTACCAGTACTTCACACCGGCTCGATCGACCTGAACAGACCTCCCTGTGCAATTAGTCACTTTATATGGTCCTGTCTGGTATGGCTGAGTCCATTTGGATCTTTTCTGAACTTTGATGAATATCCAATCACCAGGTTTAACAATGGGGTCAATCTCATCTGTTTGTCTCAATTGGTTAGTTTGTCGTCTGCACTCGGACAACTGGGAAACAATTGCCCTGAGCTCAGACAAATATTGCTGGTGGATCCAGTCCCATTCGACAAAGGGGGCTTCAGCATTGAGTGGACCAATCGGCCTGTGCATTTCTCTCCCAGTCAATAACATGTGTGGAGAGTAACTTGTTGACTTGTTCACGCTATTCCTGATGTCCATCAGCACAAGAGGAAGAGCAGTGACCCAGTCAAGTTTTGAAGTCTGCCAAACCTTAGCTAGCTTACGTTTGATGGTTGCATTCATGCGTTCAACTTGACCCTGAGATTTTGGATGGTAAACACAACCAAATTTTTGTGAAATCCCGAGAGTTTTCAACACGTCACGCACAATCTTAGCTGTAAAATGTCTGCCATTATCAGATCTGATCTGATAAGGGCAGCCGAATCTACAGATTACATCACGCATTAGATGTTTTACAACTTCTGCCGCGGTTTCGGTTCGACACGGAAAGGCTTCTACCCACTTAGTATATTCGCAAACGATAACTAAAAGATATCGAAAACCTCTAACACGCCTGTCAGGACCCATGTCTGTAAAGTCCATGACAATTTTTTCAAAGGGCGAATTGGGCATGATGAAAGTGCCAGGTGGGGGTTTGCAAGTCTTCTTGGGGTTCACGGTTTGGCAAGTGTGGCAATTGTTGATTCGATATTGAAGCATTTCTTTCATTTTTGGATGCCATTTCTTTCATATTTGGATGCCACCATGGTTCCATGAGACGAATCATAGAGTTGACGCTTCTGTGCAGCGGGCTGTTGGTCTGCAGCTTGGTTTCCTTTGGAGATCATGTCCTCTCCTTGTGTATGTGCTCTGCATTTCATGATGGCCAGTTTGCTTGGTAGGTTCACTGCATCAATCAGATGTCTAACAAAAACTTCATGTTTTACCGGCAGTCCATTTATCAGTTTGAAGCCATTTCTTATCCATCCAGGAATTGAGATTGTCAATGTCCTGTAAGCATATGCCGAGTCGGTATAGATGTTCGCAGTCCGTCCCACTGGCGAGTTGTAGTGCTCGCAGCAGACCTGTAAGTTCAGCCACTTGAGCAGATCCTTGCTCCACTTGTCTTGCTTCCAATACTCTGTGCTCTCCATTTTCCTTTTGTGAGACGACAGCGTATGATGAGATGGTTTCTCCAGTTTGCGCTCTGTATGAGCAGCCATCGCAGAAGAGTGTCATTTCAGCATTTGGAATTGGCTCAAATTGAAGATCAGCTCTTACATATAGTTCAGTCTTCGCCAGTTCTTCACAGATATGGTCCGTGCTGTTGCTTTCAGAGTCATTGATCATATGCATGGCCATGTTGATGTTTCCACTGGCATAGGTGATGTGAGGTTGACGAAGCGTCTGAGTGATGTTGGCAGTTCTTTGGGCTGTGGTGATGAACAGTTTTGAGTTCAAGTATGCTTGGATCCCATGGTTTGTGTGTACCACAAGAGGGTGGTTTTTGGACCAGATGTGCTGTCTTCATGATTGTTTTGGTCAATGCTGCCAGATATCTTGCACATCCAGGTTGGGCTTGGTCGTGTGGATCAAGTTTGCAAGAGTAGTGTTTCAGAACTCTTCTTTCTCCTTTTTTCTTCTGATACAATATTCCACAGACATAGAATTGTGATTCAGCCACATCCAGATGAAACGGCAGTGTGTAGTCTGGCACATACAGTGCACAGGCGTTACAGACGGCTTGCTTTGTTCTTGTAAAGGAGTTTTCTGCTTCCGTGGTCCAAGTTAAACTTGCAGTGCCATGGGGTTTGATCAGTTCTCTTAGAGGTGCAGTCATTGCGGTATAGTTGGGTACATATTCTCGACTGTAGTTGCAAAGTCCGAGAAAACTCAGCATTTGTCGCACCGTTTTTGGTTTTGGTGTCTTCAGAATTGCATCTTTGTTGGAGTCTGAGACTCCCTGTCCAACTGCAGAAACCTCTCTTCCCAAGAAGTACACAGATCTTCGGCACATTTGGATTTTCTCCCGCTTCACTTTATAGCCTTTTCTTGCCAGGTGTGTGAGCAGATCAGTGGATGCTTGTAAAACGGACCTTGCATCTGGTCCTGAAATAGCCAGATCATCCACATATTGTATGAGAGTGCACTTCTCAGGAAGGTTAAACTCAGCCAGATCCAGACGTAGGAAATGGTTGAAGTACCCGGGGGACAGTTTCCATCCTTGGGGCATCCGACAGTAAGTGTATTGTCTCCCCTTCACGGTGAAGGCAAAGTACTTCTGAGATTTTGGATGCAGTTTGATTGTGAAGAAGGCGTTGGCCAGATCAATTACTGTGAAGTACTTGTCGTTCGGAGAAAGGTTGTTCAGTGCGATGTATGGGTCTGGAACAGGGTACGATTCATCAGCTGTTACTTCATTTAGGGGTCTGAAGTCTTGGACCATGCGCCAGTTCTTCAAATCTGACTTCTTCACTGGAAATAGTGGGGTGTTATACTCTGATGTAGTTCCTCTTATAACACCTGCTTTCAGAAAGTCCTTCAATGGTTTGTGCGATCCCTTGCACTTGTTCTTGTTTCAAGGGGTATTGTGCTCTGTATACTGGAGTGTCAGTTGTCAGTTTAACTTTCACAACATGCGATGTGCATCCCACATCATTGGCATGTGTCATCCATATGTTAGCTGGGACTGCATCCAAGTATCGTTGAGCGTCTGGGTGATTTTCAAAAGTTCTGTGACGCGATTCCTTCAAAGCTCTGGTTATGTCCGTTGACCCGTCTGGCAGTGTGATCCTGAAAATGCCATGTTGTCCATTGTAGGACACTCCAGGGTTGTCGGTTGGTGCATATATCAAAGTGTTTGCCAACTTCACCATTGATCCAAGGGACTTTGCAGTATGGTACTTGGAAACGGCCAACGTCACATGTGGGTCCATGTCGGTTGTTTCGACATAATAGGGCTTCACTTCATCTGGAAGAGTCACAGACAGGGCCATGCCTTTGGGACCACAGTAGATGTATGGGTATGTTACATGGAATGTTTGCCCTTGCACATTGTCCCACAGCGTGGCATGCAGTGGGTCAAACGGTTCTCTCAAGGGGAAATTGGATTTTGCCCATAGCTTGTATTGTTGCCAGAGTGTTGAGGCTGTATTACCATGCTCTGGATCCGTCAGTACTTGAAGCCAGTAGATATTGATAGGTGTCTTCAGATCTTCTGCGACATCTGGTGAGAGATACAATATCTGTGCATGCTTGTTTTTCTCCCAAGACCGTATTAGTTGCAATGTTTCAGGCTTGTTCATGAGTTTGTATCCTTCAGGGCAGAAGAATAGGGAGAAGGACAACTTGCACATCAGTTCACGGCCACACAGAGAGATGCCACAGTTTGGTAGATACAAAAAAGAGTGATGAACAGTTTCATGGTGTGATTTTACTTCCAATGGAACAGTAAATGGTTTGCTTTCAGGTTTCCCCACACAGCCAGAGATGGACATTGATTCAGAGGACAGTGGAAACTTGTGTGTGATGCATGACACAGTTGCACCAGAGTCAACCATGAACTTGATCTCTCGTCCATTCACCTCGAGGACCACCATTGGCTCACTCCGCCAGTTGTGGAGTGAGTGGCTCTCTTGCTGTTGGCCCCGTCAATAAGAGCCTCCAGGTCCATCCTGGTACTGCGTGTACGAGTTTCCACGCATACTCATGTTTTGTTCTTGCGGGGGTGGGGGCTTTGGCATGTCATTGGGCGTCCACATCTGCTGCTGTCCGTTGTAGGATCCGGGAAATCGCGATTGGTTTTGTCGCTGCCCAAAAAATTGGTTCCGTGGTGGGCCATATCGCCCTATGTTGGCACAATCCCTTGACCGGTGTCCATATTGGTGGCATATCCAGCATTGATCTTGACGATTGCCTCTTTGTCCTTGAAATCCTCTCCCTCTACTCCTTCCTCTGGAGTTCCCCCTGTATCCTCTCTGAGCTGGTCTCTGTGTCAAAAGGAGCTTTACGACGTCCACCATCTGTTCAGCTTGCTCTTTTCCTTTTTGATTCTGGTCATTGTCCTCAACATTGACCTGTGATCCGTCCACTCCAACTTTCATCACATTTGCGGCCTTGTTTTTACTCTTTTGTGCTTCCACCTCTTCTTTAAGTTTCTTGTTTTGTAGCTTGATGTTAGACACCTCCACTTTTTGTGTTTCTTCTTTATTATTCTCTCTTTCATTTCGATAGAGGGTCACATAGTGGTTGCAGTTTTTATCAGTCTTCTTCGGTCAGTGTGTACAGTCCAACAACATGAGAAAGACTTTGTTGTACTGGTTTTGGCATTCCTTTGACCATTGTGTTGAACAGGATGAATGTACTTGTTGTTCCTGGTTGCACTGCTTCCCCAGTTGCATCATAGAATAAGGCCTTGGCTCTGCGCTTGTACTCAAAGTACTCTTCATCTTCTTTCATCTTCAGCGAAAGTAATTCTTCTGGAACGCATGTTTGAAACATTTCTCTCAGAATTGACAGCAGTGGTCCTTTCATGGTGGTAAAGGACAGGGTATGGTTGAATGGTCCAATGCGTTTTGTTAGCTCCGCCCGTACTTTCTTGGTAGTGGCTTCATCAGTATTTCTGGTGATTATAGAAGAGACGTCTCCCCAGCACAATATTTCACCAGCTGTGTGCGTCGTCAGTGCCCTCATAAATGCAGGTGCTCCTTTTGTCAGCTTTGGCAATTTCAGCATTAGTCCTTCAATGTCTTTCAATGCAAATGGCTGATACACTTGCTGGCGACCCGCAGCCTCTCTTAGTGGAAAGAGAGAGGTTGTTGCTCTTCCCGCTTCATCTTCTTCTAGCAGTGAGTGATTTGGGTCAAAAAATGGGTTGACATGCCCACTCACGAAGGCTCCCTCATGCTGTTGGTCTTCGACCAGGCCGGTAAACTCCCCTGCAACATAGTGGTCTCTTGTCTCTGGACGGAAGGGGTTGTGGCCTGTCCTCAGTCGGTTCTCTATGCCTCTTCTTATATGCATTTCACGACTGGTTTGGGTGTGCTTTGGTTCTTTGTCCATTAAACAAATGAGTTCTTCTTTTTTCTTTGTTCATGTTTTGCATTGTCTTGGTCTTTGACTTCCTCCATATTTCTTCTTCTTTTTTCCGCAGTTGAGGAATTCCCACTTCTTCATGTTCATCTTCTTCAGAGGTTTGGTTGTGAACACTTTGTGCTTGTTGACTGACCAGTGCTGTCAGTGTCTTGACTTGTTTCGCTAGTTCTTGCACATCTTCACGATCGCCTCTGGATGGAACCATAGAGAGGGTGCCACCCAACACTGTGTGTTCAACTGGTTCTGGGAAATCTTCTTGGGCTGTGGCTTTTGGGAGTTCCACTTGTGTGTATTCTGGTCTTGCAGATCTCTTGAAACGAGGGGGGGAACATGGAGTTGACGATGAATACTGGGTACTCAAGTCCTTTAGTGACCTGCTCAGTTGCTTGTAGCTGTGCCTCTCCTTGTGATATGCTTCCATGTCTTCAGGCTCGGAAGCCGGGTACAGAAGTTCATCATTTATCCGTGGAAGGGGCGTCTGGTTCTCCCTCATGAGCATTTTTCCTTTAATTCTTCTTCTCTGAGTAGCTTCAACATCACACTCCTCCTCCGTATCATCATGGAGGTCCTTGTACACGGTACCAGACCTGAGGCGTCCTGGGTCTGCAGAATGTGCCTCCTGAGTTTTCAGCGTCACCGACTTCTTTCTCTGCTTGTATGGTTGATCCTCTTGAGTGCCCTCCTTCAGGACAAGGATACGTGTCATTTTTCGTTCTTCACATTTTTCGGCAATCTTCTTCGCAATGTCATACAGCTCCAATGCAAAGTTCTTCAGCTCCTCATGCTTCCTGATCTTTGCTTCATCAGTCACGTAGCCTCTTCTGGTGAGTACTGGATGGGTGCGATGATGCAATACTTTGCCTTGGTGATATTGTGAAATGTTTTCCCATTGCTTTTTGGTCGGAGCCAGGGCATCTTCGCCACGAGAAATTAGTTTCTTCGCTGCATACTTTTTGAACAGCTTCTTCATCAGTAAAATCTTTCTTTGTTCTTCCTTTAATGGCTCTTCCTTGATGTGTATGTAATGTTCTGCCTCCCTCAAAAATGTGTCCATCTTCATGAAAGACATTGTTTTTTGCAAAAATCAAAATAAAATAACGTAAAATAAAATAAAATAAAATAAAGAGTG